CATCAAGCAGAGAAGTGGGGTGTCATGCGCTAGTCGAATGTCTCAGCTACAACGCGTGTCACGAGCTTGCAACACTGTCCTATTATCGTCTATCTCAATAGCGAGTTGTCCGTCTCGCCTCTAGAATGGGATAGTTTACGAGTACAAAGGGGGATCAGGAGATGGAATAGTATCTGGATGTGTCGTTGGATTACTCCGCCGCGCTGGCATGTGCTCAACCCGCGATTACCCCTTTCACCTCCGTCTCAATCAACCCCCATGCTCCGCTGTGTCTTGCCCCGCAAGTCTGTTCCCGGTAGGTATCTCTTTTTGGAAGCAAGGGATTTCCTTCTACCGCCTTACTGACGCGTGTGCTGCAGTGAGCAGAATTGGAAGGAGTTTATCGCCGCGAGCTGGAGCGAACGACTCTCGAATTGATTGTGGATAGATGGCGATGCACGGAAAAAGGCGTCGTGTCAGTTGTCCCCGTTTCGGGGAAGCGTGGCTTCATCAGCGTCCAGTGCTGTATTGCATCCTCTCAGAATGAGCTGCTGGCATCATTGGCGGTATCGGTAATGCGTAGGGTTTCCAAGTGTGAAACGTGTTGGAGTGCAGCCGTTCTCGCCTGTTTGCAGGCACCCATCCGTTCATTTGCTCGCCCCTTAGGTTTAGCTGCCGTGAGTCAGGGATGATGCGGTCGTCTTTAGTAGGGTACCCGAGCGATAAGAATTTCTTGATTCTACCTGTTTGCCTTGAGTTCGCAGCTGTTTCGCAGTTGATCTCAGCCTCTGTGATCTGTCGAGTACTGCCATGGTGCGCGGTTGTGTTGTGTATTGGGATGATAGGGCTGATACCTGGGAGTTCGGTCTGGCTGAGTACGGTTTTGAGGTGTTCGAGCGCCACTGCAACTACCCTGCGGTCTATCTGCAGTGTAGATTTGGTGTTGGGGCGCTTTGCGCAATGGGCTCTTACCTGGGTGGCCAGGTTTTTCCCGCGCTGTCCAGGTGATGAGGGCCGGGCGGCAACCACAGTGAATTCGCCACGCGAGGGGCGTTCTTGTTAAGAGCATTTTTCGTTCGAATGTCACTGGTGTTCGGTTGTTGGTCTAAATTCTTGGGATGGGGAGCAAAGGGTTTCCCCGGACACCGGGTTTACCTTCGCGCAAGTCGATGTCGGGCCGTGGTTCAACACGCAGTCAGAATGACGAGAGGGGTAGGTTTTATTTGGATTTTACCCACTACTCCCCTCTCATTATTTTCGGTTGAACGTGCAGTCCACTCAAAGGCATCGCATCGTAGGTTTCCATAAGGAGGTGCGTCACTTTGTGGTTCCCGCGCTTCCTGCTACCGTTAAGCATGTAACAGCTAACAAATAGCTGTTCATGCTGAGGGGGGATGTTACGGTTACATTGTTACGACTACAGGAGTTCCACCTGGTGGGAATTTAGCGTTGTCCCCATAGGGTGGTTGAGATTTGACTACATTGGCAGGGCACCTTGTCTTGAGCTAGCCCCACCCCACAAGCTCCCTCCTATTGTTTGAACTTCTTTTTGTTTGGCATTCCAGTTCTTAGCAATAATCAAAGTACAGACCGTATCCACCACCGGAGACCTTCTCCACGTTCCAAAAGCCTCCTTCTAGGCTTTTCTCTACCGCCGTTCAAGCGCGTCCACCGAACTCGGTACCGATCGAGAGGCTGTTGTCGAATAGGTCTGAGCAATCATAAATCCGATTTTTTTTTGTCTCCCTCCCTTGAATTACTCTCTTGGGCCATTTCAGGGTCCTGGAGCGATGTCCTGACACCGCCGTTGCTACATCTCAACTAGTCGCGTGATCCACCCAAAACCGTAGCCTCTCCATCGGTTACATTACCGCAGGGTGTTGGTTGGATGTGACCCATGCCATGTTGGATACACTCTGAACGGCGTGACAAGAGCATCGTCCCGGAAGCCAAATGGGCTGGTCAGCTCTGGGTAGGGTAGCCGGAGGAGGGTTTTATTTTCCTTACCAACGAAACACATTCATTCATATAATCCATCATCGATATCCGTAAGCCGAAATTCCATGGGTATTGTGCCACCGGTGAATCAATAGACACGTGTGTCGTATGATGTTGGTATTCGCGTGGAGATGAACACATTGGGACCAGGAACAATAACAACATAACTGATACGTACATACAGGCGCAGCGGTTTGCAAGCCTCATGTGCAGATAGCATACAGCATGGTTGGGAGCGACGGGAATCGTGGTAGATGTATGGTGGGAGGGCAGCTGGAGAAAACGTTTGAAAACGGCACCGCACGTGTCCATGCGCGACCGTGTCGATGATGCGGTGCGATGTTTCACTACCTGGTTTTCCCGTGTCGTCCCTAGTCGACGGCGCGGGCCGCTGTTGCAAGTGACGTAGAGAGCGTTCGCAGGAGAGCGTTCGCAGGAGAGCGTTCGCATGAGACGGGTAGATGGACAGTGGTAGACGTAAAATTCGTCGTGTGCGCCTAGTCGGTGAGGACTTGTTCAACTTGTGCTCCGGATCACGTGGCAACATTCATTATTCACATCTAGCTGTGATGTTGGTGGATGTCCTGGATCAGCGGGCAAGTGATCAGTCGAGAGGGGGGGGAGAACAATTGCGAAACAAGGCCTCAATGTCCTGGCCGAGAGATCTACATACCGCACGACGGTTGGATTCGAAATGCTGGCTACTCCGAAGACCAAGCGTACCTCAAGTACTCCAAAAATTTGTCTGCTGTTGACTCCCTTCTGGATCTCGCGTACACGTTGTCGCTGGCCTTTTCGAAGGTACATTCATAATCGGTGGAACCCCATGGTATTTGTCGGTATGTAGGGATCTATCAAACCGGTTCGACATGGTTGTGGGCAACCAGGGCCAATTGGTGTAGGTTCTTGTCTCTGTTTGTGTTCTCGTTAGGGCTGTCGGGGAAATGAAGTTGAGGAGTGTTCGGGCGCTGGTACAACGGCAAATTTCTTGCCAACATTTATTTGGCGTTACCAGGCACGTCCCCCTTGACGCTTCACAAAATATTTCGATTGAATGCCGCCAGCTAGAATCTCACATGGATTTCACCTAGCATTCCTTCACGCACACCTCCCCGCGTAGTGATACACCACCCATGGAGACGAACTTACGTAGGTGAACTACTATTTCCTGGACCAATGGAACAGACGTCAAGGCTTCTAGTGAAACACATGGCAACGAGTTACGAGGTCCCTTAGACAACTAGCGAAGAGACAATAGCTTCTTGTGCTGCACTCTGGCATGGTTTGGCGATTTTGGCGATAGAATACGCAGAAGCCATTTCACCCAAAAGCCGGATACGGGTGTTGAAGGAGACATATTTCACGAACAAGAGTCTGCCATGACCTGGAAACGTGGAAGTGACTTTGCTCCAACCTGGTCGTCATATTGTCTTGCGAAATCGACATACTTCATACCAAGTGAGTCGGTCATTCTCTCGCTTTGGTTCCTCGTAGTAGAGAATGACGTGCAGTGAAGGAAGAGAGTCTTGTACGCTTCTCTCACGACAAAGATCCAAGGCAACAACCGCAGGAAGGGTTATGTAGGGGGTTTCCGTGTGACCTCATATTGGAGCCCCGCCTACCTGGCAACAATGCTACGAACGCTGATTCTGTCTGCTAAACAGTTTATTGGTCGCGACCAAATGACTTCACTCCAAATACCCGGGTCCACAATTGGCAACCTAGTCTAACTATTGAGAGTCATTCTAGTCATGGGCAAGACAGGTTCACCCCATGAAGAGTGGCACATTGAGACGTCGTGATACAGTTTCCTGGGCAGGACGAAATCAACACCTTGCCTTGTCCGAGTCCATTCACGTCGCGACCAATCAACGGCCGAAGACCAGACCATGACCACGTCATTTTCAGGCCATGACCGTGCTGACTCCGTCAGGCGTGCCTATTGAGATATCAGATGCAGTAATCAAGGCGGGCCTATGGGCCGGTGGTAGTATCTCGGTGTTGACCGGGTCATACCGCTAAAACTACCGTACCAGGTCATGAACCATTCATGGGGGTCGTGACCGAGTTGCTGTTAGCTTGAGTTATCAACGTAGTGACGTCGTAGCGCCGTCGACATGGGCCGTGATTCGCCGATGACCTGCCCATGTCCTGATCATGGCCTGGTCATGGCCGAGAGTCACGACCGAGTCATGCCCCGGTCATGAACCAGTCATGACCAAACCATAACCCAGGTCATTGCCGAGTCGTGACCGGTTTATGACCCGCCCGTAACCGAGTCATGACTCAGTCACGGCCATGAACGTGTCATGACCTCGACAATGACCGAGGTCATGACTCAGTTTCGTGATCAAGTGATGCCTCAGGACTAGGTCATGATCGGTTCATGACCAATTTAATGTAAATATGCCATATGGTCACGACCAACGATCAAACGATCACGAGACAATGATTTTAGAGCAGCGATGTTTGATCCGTGATTCATTGGGAATTTTTCGATAGGCTTGGCATTACTTACTTCTTAATTCTATGGGCATCGTTCCTCGCCAAGGATGAAAGTCCTCGGGGAACTGTGCTGGACCTCCTTGTCCCTCCCAGTGTTGTTCTGACTTCACCCCTGATACGGTTCCCGTCAAGGTGATGTGTGAGACTCAGGAAGAATTTTGAGGGACGATCCAGGCCGAAACCCTTCTCGGCTGTGGATGGCTGGCCAATAACAGATGTGGAAGTGGTAGCGAAAGAGGGGCCCGGTTGGAAGAAAATCCGTTCTGTTCAACGAGTGGTGGGAAAAATTGCATGAATCGAGGTCCACCGACAAAACCCCATGGTTGAAGCGTGGATCAGTCAATTGCGCAGAGTCGGACGTAGTCGAAAGCCATGTTTTTGCCAGAGATGAAGAAGTAGTTAGCCTCTCTCCGCCAGGAACGGGCGATATCTTTCCCACCGATTAGGCAAACTCCCGCCACACTCGGGAGTGCGAGTAACGTCGTAGAAACCAAATCAGACGCGGCAGGAACAGAATTATACTCAATGCTGTCATCGTAAGCTAGGACCTTCAAACTATCCTCACGCGCCCCTACCGTGCCTGGGACACTTCTGGTGGACAGACATTTTTCCAGTGCACTCATTGCCACAGATTCTCACGTGTAGGGGGGCACAGCTATCGGGACCGCCTATGATGCTGCCTACTTTTTTTCTACAAGTCTGCAGTTTTAGTTCTTGTTGTCTCCTTTCCGGTCTCCGCTAAGTACTTTCTGATACCCGTACTGGTCCAGCTGACACGGACGCCTTCCGTGATCACCAGCCAACGACACAAAGAAGGGTACACCGTAACTTTCTAGAACGAAACCCATAAAATTGATGGAGACGATAATTCTTCGATTGTAGCATCCGGTACTACGGGCCCGCAGTCTAGAAAAACCAGTCTGTAGCACAAGAAGCGAAAGCCTACAGTAACCGTGAGATGTGATCAACCCCGGCCAAAAAGGAAACAAAACACCAGAAGACAACGACATACCGGAAACAAATAACGAAAGGGTATCCCAGGAAAAAATGTATGCATGCATGTGAAACTTGAGTAGAGACAGGCGGTATTCTTGTGCTTCAGTGTACCACCCTTGCCGTGGCTGCGTGAGCGTCACTGAATACCGGTTAGCAGAACCAAGGCCGCCGTAGCTCGACAATTTTCCACTACTGTAGACTGTTGTTCTACATACCAACATGCTAAACAGGAGCTCACAGGCACGTCGTACGAACGTCCAAGAGCAATGCACACCACCCGCATCAAGCGGTTGGTACAAGAAAAAGAAAGACGTGAACATCGAAGCGCCGGATCCTTGTCGTCACCATCCATCGGCGGCAAAAAAGCCACCGGGACAGATTTAACTTGGCGTCCGCCAATCAGATGTCTCCATTTAACTCGGCGCCTACTTGGTGTCTTGTCTATTTTTGACTAAGTTTGCAATTACGCCGCTTTCTGTGCCCACCGCATTCGAACCAACCAGTTCGGAGACCCAACGCACATCAGCCGAGAGGCTGGGCGCTGCAACTGGCGCAAACCACACATTGCAGGATAGAACCAGTATAGACCACTCTGGTCTCTGTGTTTACGAAGGTTCGCAACATCAATCCACACTGAGTGTCGATGCCGAGCACGCAGCAGCAGCCAGAAGAGCTAGCCCTAAAAAAACAGCGAGGAGAGGGAGATCGCACACACAATATCACGCGACAAATAATGTCGAGCTACAGCAGCACAGCATGCAGCAGTAGTACCTACAACCCAGGGATCTGGATGCGTATATATCGTCTGCACGCCCGTCCTCTCGCGAGACCACTTCAAGTAACGTGATGCTGATACTCTGGCACCTCTTCATCATTCTGTTGATTGCCTGCCTTGTTCTTCGCTCTCTTGACTTCATCTGATCTGTACCGGTAGTGTAGTCTAGGTTCTTTGGAATGAACGCCCCAAAGCAGTCACCATCAATCATCAATCCCGACGCGTTTGTACGTTGACAACAAGCATGGCAGTACATCGGCACGGTGATTTCTTTGCTGTCTCCGTGACGACACCTCTGCCCTGGTGTCTCCTGTCCTTCATTATTGGTTCAAAGAGGTGCAACGTTATTATTTTGATTGAAAGTGTGCGGGCCGCAGAAACATTGCTTTAGATGAGTTTTACACATGTATTCGCGGGTTTCGCCCGCGTAATTAAACTAAAAAACCTCTGTCCCGGCACATTGAAACATTCATCATGGCCAGAGAAGTATCCACAGCCAGTCCCCTCGGCAATAGAATCATCCCCGTGCGTGGTTCCGTCCACCTCGCTCAACCCAGACGATATCACGGGCATATCGGACACTTGGGGCACCAAGCCAGCAATGATACCACAACTACCAAATCCCTCGCCAACACGTAAGTATCATCACTTACTTGTGCCTCCCCTGACCGAATCGAAGTGGAGATCCGAAGGAGACAAGCTCGGTCCGACAGGTGGACACACTTCTGGCGCAGGCCCTTGGTGCGATTCACACGAGCTAGTGCATGCCATAGGTTTGTCTGCGTTGCTGCATGAGGCAGACATCGAGCCGGTAGCATCCCCGGGAGTGACACCGGCCGACACGATGCTGCCACGGTCTTCTTCCTTATCGACAGCCTGCAGATTATCTTCCGTGCGCTGAGTCCTTTGTGAACCGGCGCAGTCGCTAGCCCAGAGGGGCGGGGTGGAGAAAACAGTCAATGCTTGACTCGTGATGATACACTCGTATATCCTGCAACGAGAGCATTGACGAACCAGTGGGAGCCAGCACGGGCGAGGGTCGAATCATGTACATCCACATTATTCATCACCATAGACTCAACAGCAGTGAACCTAAGTAGTGATGTTTGTGTCGAAAAAAATGTCATGATCACGGAGGACAGGACGTGATTTTTTGTTGCGAAAGTCCTCATGCCGGTGTGCAGCAATGGCGCCCTGCAGGCAACACGTCGCGCGGAACCTCTAGGCCGGCCCGACACCAGATGCTGGTGTGCACTACAGAACAGCAGTAGTTCGGAGGAGTGTAGAAAGATGTAGGATCTGCTCCTTTTGGTTGAGGGATTGGTAGTGTACAGCAGCAGGAACAATACAGACCGTGGTGCAAAATATCAAGAACAGGCGTAATATTGCCGGCATTTCCTCACAGCAGCGCGGCTGATTCACATTGGACAGACCATCTACATGTGAACGCGGGTGACCGGGGGCACCTGGTATACGCGTTGCATGGTATTAGATCAAACGTGTTAAGTTGTGGCGAGTCTAGCCTTTGCACTATCTGCAAGGTGACATATTTTCTTTGGTCTGGTTTTCGTTACGTCTACCGCGCGCAGCAGCCAGCACAATCTCCCACACTACTGAAAGTTTTGTTAAAAGGCCCATGGGCGGCCCATGGACTCCCAACGAAGTGCCTACCGTGGGCACCTCAACCTAGTGCTCGCCACCGGCATATCAACCTAGAACTTAGCCATCGGCACATAAACCTAGGAGTTGGCCACCCAGCGCCAACGTAGAACGTATCGTGTGGGCTTGGGGTTAGGGTTAGGGTTAGCGTTGGGGGTATTAACCGTTATACTGCTCGTCCCAGAGCAGAAAACCTATTGCTTAGGAGTACACAGATTCCGGTTGAAGGGCTTTCAGTGGCCGCCCATGGGCTTGCCCATGGGTCACCCATGGACCGCAATGGGTACCACGTGGTGCCCATGGGTGTGACCCTTGGGTGACCCGTGGGTGGTTGAGCAAAACCGTAAAAAGTGTGGGAAACCCAGCCAGCACGACTTCGCCACAACGCCAAAACCATACGTGCACTGTCGACAAGTGTACTCATGGCAGGGTGTGACGACAGCACGAAAAGCTTCAGTACACGTCATTGTAGAAGCTCCAAACGTCGTCAGACACGTGTGGACCACAACGTTTGGCATTCCGTCGCAACACATGCTGTCGCAAAGTGTGGCCTGAAAACAAAAACGGCCCCAATTATTTGGTGCACTTACATGAATCAAGTCTAATGTCACACGGCGACGACATCCTATGAGTATATAGATATCATGATAACATGATAAATAACATAACTCCATGTAACATGATTTTGGGAATTGAACGAAAAAGAAAGCCACACTGCGGAGCTGTTCGAGTCCTCGGAAACCCGTGCCACTCCAAAGCCAAACCCTTTTCGGTTGCGCGACGACGAAGAGGCAAGCACTCAAAGCCGAAACAAGGCCAACGTCTAGTGTTGCGCCTGTAGACTAGACAATGTGTCAAGATTTGTTCGTGAGAAATCCGACAAAGACGGCTTTCCCGCACAGCAGTGTGCGTTGGTGTTGATGAAAAGGTGGACCCCCAGCGCATGTATCATTGTAGGAAATCAACCCTTCGACGCACCTGCACTGGAAATCATCGCAGAATGCAGATATCCCACGCCACTCCTCCAAAGGTGGCGCTGGCAGAGAGTAAGACGGGCGGGATGGATTGTAGACCTCCCGCAACCGAGCATACAGCCCCCGAGCTCTGGAGTCGTCAATCGCTGCTAGGGCCCCGAGGACGCATTGTGCAAGGTGACACCTATATTGTACACAATGGGAGGAACGGTGGGGAGCAGAAGCAGAAGATGAGAATGTCAATGTCGTGTACCACATACGGTTCAGCACACGGTTGCCATCCCTTTAACATGAACGCCAGAACTGCCTATGGGTTATATCCCATACTGTAGTGGTCGAGCTCCTACGCAGGAAGCCACAGAAATCATTTTGAACAACGAATGCTGGCACTAGGAGTACTCTTCTTGCCCTGTAGACTCACGGCGCAGCTTGTCCCATAGCTGGTCACGATCACGGATCGAAGACATCAAGACGATCAATGTCAGATATGGGGACATGAATGAGGTCGGCTGTCGGCTTACCATTGCATCATGGAGCCACACATGCCAGGGTACCGCTCGTATACCTCGACGCAACGCCCGAACCTCTCCAGCGCACCAACAGCGTCCCCTTTCGCTACTCTTTGGAATGACAGGATTCTGTCAAACACGGCACGTGGCAATGTAGATATGAAGAATAATCAGTGAATACGACAGTGTACAACTTCTCCACTACCCGGAGTTGTTCGTATGGCAGTAAAAATAGGTTGTGGTGCTCGTAGATCAACCACGCGGAGCCATCGCACGGAAAGAACACAGAACACTCTCGCTGTTTCTAGCAGTCGGGACCATGTTGTCGGGATTACTTACATGTTGATGAGGAGACCGCCGATGCCCGTGCGAATGTTCGGTCTGCTCGCCATGTCGGTGAAGGTCGGCCACGAGGAGCAAGGGAACCAAGGGTACGTGTAAGAATTCTAAACACATATTTGCGCTGATACCAAAACGTGCGGAAACAGGGGTTGACCAACAGAGGAGGTGCTGAAACAAAGGTTTCATGTCATGATTAGGCATATGCTGCATGGCATTTGAAAGCAAACCGTCAAGCAGGGTTGAAACTTGCTCACCGATCGGCTATTTCTTGTAGGTGTTCGAAGTCGATCAGGCCATCTTTGAGCGCAGCCACCATGATAGCAGACACCTCCTCCGCTTGGGGGGCGTTGTCGTGCGGAATAGCACCGCTTCTGTTGTCTTCGCAAGCTTCGTTTTCTCTCGATTGTCTGCGCGTCGCAGTGTTCTCGCAAGCTCTCTCGAAGACATCTTGCTCGAACGCCGTTAGCGACTGGGCAACGTATCGATATAGGTCCCCTTCGCATGCCGCTGGCTTGATCTGAGTGGTAAGTAGCGGCGGAATAGGGTGAAGGTGCAGGTCTCGTGGTTGTTCACACTAGCGCAACACCACAATAGACCTTCGACTCCCTGCCAGGCCGGAGTGATTACGTTGACATGTCGCCAATGAGGCAGGCCTTGTGCCAACGTGCCAAGTGTATGCCGCCTTGAGCTTCCGACGAAGTCGCACGAAACGTCAAGGATATATGCAGCAACCTTTGCTGCTCAGGCGTCGTGTTGCTGCTCTTGGTGTCTTCACATCAACAGTTTTCTGCCCTTTTACCCGGTACGTCACCTTCAGCGCACCCGTCGGACACTAGTTCACGAAGAATTCGATGATGTAAACTGAGAAGCCCGTCAAATGCCCCACACATTGAGAACAATAGGACCCTAAACGCCCAACTAGATCAGTGCAGAAGAACTCCTGAAGAAAGAAGGGTCTATCGCTCAGAGTCGGATGACGACTGATGCCATAGTTGAAATTCTGTTGCTCAATGTCTTTGCTGGTGTGGTCGACCGCACATGTTGACCTACATGCAAGAGTACGCTCTCATGTCTGTTGCCGACTGCCCAACCACACACTGGTCCACCTGTTGGCCGTGGCGAATAAGGGACGTTGCGGGAATTGAGGAGCGGCATCCCACACGTTGCAGCCACCAGTACTGTGTGCGCAATTAACCAAGACACTGCAAGTGGCTTACTCTTGACGTCTGGGCGTACCAGCCTCAGCCAAGAGGTACAGGACACACCTGAGGAGCATCTTGACGCTGAGCGACCAACGACTCGATACCCGTAGCGTCTAAATGTCCAGAATACACCTGGACGTTGTCCTTCTGACGGATAATCTCAGCGAATCCCTGGCCAAGGTACATGCATGCATACGAGAGTTCAGCGAATGCACAGAACCGCAACCGTACAACACAGCAGTGAAGCATGATCTGAAGGAAACAGCACAAAACATGCTTGCCCCGCTTCACTTCAAGGCAGTAGTACGGGAGAGGTTGGTCAGACTACACCGGGCCTCATCGCCGCGTCATTCGACCATGAACAACATGGTGCCTTCCGGCTGAGTGGCATGAAGCAAGAGGAGCAACAGCGCGACGCTAGCGCCGTGATCGGGATACCAACGTCTGTGCAATGCGATGCTACGGCTACCAAGCGCATCAATCCACCTCTGTGAATACTACCGTAGGTTCGCAGAGGAGCTGCCGCGATGATCTCTCCCACGATGGCCTTGCACACATCCAACAAGATGTTTTGAGTCAGTGGCTTGGTTCATAGAGGAAAGTGCTCACCGGACGTAGGACGGCAACGATCTGAATATACTTTTTGGGAAGCGGGCCGTGCTGTCAGTCTACCTCTGTCCGTACAGCGATGTTCCTGTTACAAACTGTTAAGAGACACGTTGGCCTCTAATATCCAGGGTTCGAATCTCGCCTGGAGCTGTTTTTCCCCGAGGATGTTATTTGCGCCCGATGTGTGGGAATAACAAGTCTATGAGTCTGAAGAACTAGGCTTCGCAAAATGCCGATGATTCTTTTGTGTACCAAGTGGTCAAGACAGCGCTGATCACAGGGATGACAGCCCTTGGGGGACTTGTTCGTGTCTTGATCGAAAGTTTGACGGACTTGGGCATAAACGTTTGATAAGAAGCACGATGAAAACTAGACCAGTAGTCAGCCGCTGACCAGTGGTCTGGTGGCCATCGTGCTGTCAAACACAAACAGCCACAACTTGGTCGACCTCAACCTCTGGCCAACGTGAGAAGCAAGGCAGGAAAGGGGCTCTAGGCTTTGCTACAGTCGAACAAATGCAACTGCGTCATTCTCACCGCAGGCAGCATGTCAGTTGACCCTTGCTCGATGGAATCCATCAAAAAGGAACCCGAAAGCTTCAGGTACTCCACATAATTCGCCTGAAGCACAGGAACACAACGGACATGGTGCCAAAACAAATGCGTGGGTGGGTCAAAAATAGATAACCTCCAGTGGGAGGAGACAATTTCCAACAAATAATGTATCGTTGGCAATGCGAATCATGCAGTGACGACGCGATCGGCTCTTTCGCCCGGCAAGAGGATACACTCCTCGTGTGCACGACGCGGACGCAACGACCAAGGCTGCCGTAACTCCCGCCGAGTTCGAGCTCACCATGTCTCCCATGGAACCGTGGAAGTATCCCAGGATCGCCCACGCTCTGACGCAGGAAGGGACGACGGGTTGCGGTGCAAGGGGTCGAACAGGAAGGAGCACCGTGTGCCATACAAGATACCACACTCCTTGGACTGAGAATGAACGCTGGAGTTCGTCAAGGTAATGAGAGTGTCAATTTCCAAAACGGTGGCAATGAAGTTTGCCGGTTACACCTGTCCAAGGACGCTTCTATCGGTATTGCCCACCTCACTGACAAGAAGAAATCGACCCTTACGGGACCGGCGCAAGGCGTGTGGAATCTTGCGTGGAACTGGGTACTAAGGTTTGACTGCCTCGCCTCGCCAGGAAAACAGATGACTCGGGACGTGTTTGTGCAATGATACATGGTCTAAACAGCAAAAATCGTAAAAACGAACGCCTCCGACAAACACGTCCCACGCGATACATACCACACAATGCGCACGGGTCCCGGTATACATTGCCCTCCGTGCTGCATGCAACTTGTCCGCGTAACTCACTTTGCCACCTCGGCGTTCACGGGGCCTTTGTAGGCGTCCAGTGCATCTCTCGCCAGTCGGGAGTAGTTCGCAACCTGTCGTGACACATTTGATGGAGGAGTTGCAATTCGCGGGCGGTGTTTTGACGAGCGTCGTCGGTAGTAGCGAAACATTGGATTGGTCAGCAGCTGCACGCAACAGTCAGCGGTGGCACCAAGCATGGATCAGCGTCCACCATGCGACGGGGAACAACGGTCCTTCTACTCGTAAAGCGTTGGCCAAGAAAAATGCTGCATTTTCTCACCGATTCAACAGGGCTTCCCTTCAAAACAGCCCCAACACCAACTGCACACCAAAATGTGCAACAGGAGGGACCCGTCAAGAGCTGATTTCCCGTGGTGATGCCATCCTCGGAGAAGATGGCGCCGAACTGGCCTTGCTCGAGGGAGTCGTGCAGAGCGCCCAGCTGTTGTTGGACAGTTGGGCCGGTCATCATCTTCACCATCACTCCACGAATGTGACTGGCGGCAAAAATGAATCGCAAAGGAGTCTTGAATTGTACCATTGACTGTTTACGAGTTATCATCGCTCGGACGAGTCGCAGCCACTCCTGGAGAAACTGTTGACATCATACGGGAACAACATGGGGTGCTTTCGGTGGCCTTTTGCCGTTCGGTGTACCCCATCAAAGCTAGATCTGCACCTTGGGGTAGTCAGTGGCAGCAACCCGACGCAGCCGAAGAAGTCACTGAGGAATGCGTTCTCCTGCATACCCACCAGACCTGTCGCCGGAGAAGCGCTCAATCTGAACCTGGTAAAGCAGAAAATGATTTTAGACACGGTAAGATAATGCAAAACGTTCTCGCCCGATATGACGCGCAAGGCCTTGATGCCTCTTCGGAGCACCCCTTGTCCGTCCTTCAGCTCATACCTGCGGGTTCGATGTACCCCGTCAAAAATGTGTTTGGAAATGCTGGTTGACGGTGAAGCTCACGCAAGCGCGGGTATGTCAACGGTGATAGGCAGTAACTTCAATCAACATGGTGTCGCTGTTCTCTTTGCTGCGCTCATTTTTTCTGAACGTTGCTACTATGAAGCTCGGATACGATGTTGCAGACACAGTTTGTGTGATACAAGCTGAAGATGACCGTTTGTATTTCTGTTGTAGTTAATGACGACTGACCTCTTCAAAGACAGCATGCCACCGGCCGGGAGTGTGCCGGATGACGGTTTTATCGACTGCATGCCAGCAGGACCACGTGGATGGGGCTGTTGCTGGTGCCCAGGCGGACGCTGGTGCCACTTCCGCTTGGTGTAGGTGCATCGAACCCGAGTTTCTAGGCAACGGCTACACAATGCGCAAGTGAGGGGGGTAACGGTCGTACTTTCACTCATGCACTCCGGGCCGTCGAATGTCTACACAGGTGCGTCCGGTGGGATTTCAGGTAGGTGGGGTACCTTGCAATATCTGGTGAAGAAGTGTGTCAGTTGCGCGACGTGAAGCGCATCAGCGTGGAGATACTGACGGGAAACATCACGCGGGGTTCCGAACTTAGTGATATTCGCCCGATCTCCACGTTGAAAATCACCATCGTTATCGGCACGAGCGATTTGTATCTGTGTGATTGATTATCTAGCGCTCCTTCCGGTTGTTTATACCTTCAGAGAAGATCAAGGCCGATTTCATGCAACCCCTTAGAGATGAAACGGAGTATCGTGGCTTCCATCCGCAACACGTCCAACGTTCATGTCGGTACAGCACAAACCTGCAAGGCGTCAGGCCATCGCACTTCTTTTTCTTTCGCGCGCATTCCAAGCAGCCCCTTCGCATCCCAGCATTTTTCACTGCAAGCCCGCTTCCGGCTTTCTTGTTACCAGCACTCATGGTCGAAGTCGCTGCGTCGCGTTACCCTGCGTGCATAGTTGACGGCAGGGGTGTTGACGGAGTAGAACCGCTCCGCGGAGAGGATATAATTTTTGCGAATTTTTCACGGAGAGGAGCGGGGCGGTTTGTGTCTTTTGTGTAATAGTCATGGGTCGGAGTGGTACGGTTGACCCGTACGTGTAGCACGATTTTTTATCAGTGCGGTTTAGTTTGTTTCCTCTGTGGCCTGAACCGCGCGAAATCGTGGCCTTGACGACGGTGCACCGTCAGACAAAAAGTTCGAACCATTCGGATATCCGTTCAACCTCACGGTGTACCTGCAATTCCGTCAAATCCGTTGGGCTCGGACATCGAGAGTTGATTCGCTGCGCGGCGTGCTGTGCATGTAGGCCATCGGTGGCACCGTACTCGTTTTCGCGGCCAGCACAGCCCAAATGAACGAAAGAACTGTCAATCTGTCAGTTCGCCTAGATCAAATCGAGGTATGATTGCCCACATCGGTACCTCCTCGACCTATTCGTTCCTGCAACACGCACAATAGAGAAGGACATTACCCTTTGCGTCTTCTCCTGTTGGAACTGCCAGAGTCAGGCAACACTATTATAGTTATACGAATGGGCCCATTTTCTTGCCGACTAGCACTTGCTCTTGAGGCAATTCAAGAGCGAAAAAAAAAACTTGTGTACCGATTATTCATCTCGCACTCACTACAAAAGAGCGCTAAAGCCCGGATACAGACGCCCCTTTGCGACACTCATTGACATTCGAATTTGTTAACCACTTGTTCTTACACACGAGCAGCTCGGACACATTCAGCTTTAGCTTTACCAGGACTGAGCCGCACGCAGTTTCCCCAGCTCATATGACGAATGTTCCAACTGCTTGGTCTCCGGAGTTAGATCGGGCTTCGGCATGAAGAACAACACAGCCATCTCAATAATGACGTCGGGCGTCATTACCTGCCAAATGAGCTTGTACACGAACCCCTGTCATGAAAACCCCCTCTCTCTGAATCGCAACTATTATTTTACTGTCAATGAAAACGTCGCATATGCAGTATTGGTGGGAACGAAGGTTCGCACGATATTCAGACTTGGCGCCGTGCAATGGCCGTGACTCCGTGGAAAAACCGATTCTGCATTGCCAACTAACTGTGGATTTCGCGGGTTCAACAGTGGAATATGTTATTAGATATACTCGTAGCATAGCATGGTGGGTGATATCTTACGTATTGATGTAGTGACGAGTGCGGAGGAACAGGAAGTTGCTTCATATTTTCCTTGGGAGTGTGATGCAATGGTGGAGATTCATGGACATTCGTTAGGTACTTTGAGCGTGATGAGCGTGACCCGTGACTCCATGCCGTGACCGATTGACGAGCTGAAGCACGCCCCCGATGACCACTATACGTTTTACAACACGTTTTCCTATACGTCCCTACCCTACCACGGCCCGTCATGGCCCAGCTGCTCTACACTCCCAACACAAAGAACTGAGCCACCCGAATTATCGATCACGCTGCTAGCTTATGACACGTCGTCAACGATATTCGCGTCGAGCTTAGTTTGGAGTTACATCGCTTTGCAGCGATCAGCAGCAGCCACCGATGAGCGACACCGAGCAAGATCGAGTGAGCGCCCGACTAGCAGAGGAGGACGCCCGGATCAACGACTTGGTCCAGAAGGTAGCAGCAAAACTGGCCGAGATTACAAGGGAACAAGACGAGCAGCAGCAGAGGACAGATCACGTCTGGAGCGGGAACGACCACGAGACACGCCACCAGCAATATGCGGGGCGACCATCGGCCGGCCCGTCCACAGACGACATCGCCCGCACTCTCGCCGACGCCCTGACCAGCCGTCTTCAGATGCCACCCAGAGACATGGGTAGAGTACCAAGTAGCGCAGCGACTCTTAGGATGACTGAGGTTAAGCGCCTAGCGCCGTGGGATGGTGAGATTCGGCAAGGCGGGGATGAGCAAGCAAAGTTTTTGATTTTTCGATCGAATATGACTGCGATGTTTGCGCAAGAAGGAGTCCAGGAAGTGGTATTGAGTGACTGCAGAATTCCAGTTGGGCTAGAAGGAGTAGACATGGAGGACTTACGTAGGATGCACTCGCCTGAAACGGTAGAAAAGGCGATCACGGCGTGGAATTTGATCATCACGACAATCACCTACATGCCTGTCTTGACCCAGATTATCGCTGATGGTAGTCCCAGTGGAGGTTGGAAAGTATTTCTAGCATACTACGAACCCCAGGCGAGAGCAGAGAAAACACGGTTGACTTCAGAATACCATGCCATCAAAATGCGAGTGGGTGAAACTCCGCACGAATATTTCGGGAGATTTGCTGTTTTGCGCAATAGGTTAGCCTCACACGGCGTCACATACCCCGACGATGATGCCAATTTGCACGTTGTGTACAACTTGTCTTCAGAGTATAAGATGGAGAAAGCCATGCTGCGTGCCCTTCCGCCCCCCAATTTAACCCGTCAGCACCTTGAAAAGGTCGTGAAAGATGCCCATCAGGATATGGTGACCGCACGGGAGGGGGAGCCGCAGAATGGCGCGGGGCACGCTTTCGTCGCTGCCGGTGGGAACCGGGGCGACGGACGTGTCCAAAATGGGTCCAGTGGGAACGGCGGGGGTCAGGACGGCAATGGAGGCGGTCGGAGCAGCAACAACAGGGCGGACGGAGACAAGCGCTGCGACTATCATCCGTACCCGTCGCACACCAACAGCGAGTGCTACACCCAGCGTCGCCAACGGAAGAAGCAGCAGCCCAAGCAGCAGCAGCCTCAGCAACAGCCTCAGCAACAGCCCCAACAACAGCAGCGGCCTCAGCAGCAACAGCAACCTCGGGGACCGCCGCCACAGAAGCCGAGCCGCAGTGGGGGGGGCTGGGGGGGTGGGCCCCAGCACGGACCTCACGGCGGCTACGGAGGACAGCAGCATCACGGACATCCAGCTCCCCCCCGCCCACTGCAGCAGCAGTGGCGGCCCGCGTACGGGCATGCAAATGTGAGTCAAACGTATGGTGCCGCGCCCCATGGGGGGCTCGCGTATAGCACCGAGTACGGGGGGTGGGAGCAGCAGCCACAGTATCAGCAACCGTCGCCAGACTACAGCTACCAGCAGCAGCCGTACTACCCGCCTCCGACACCGTACTACCAGCAGCAGCAGCCACCGCCGCAGCCTCCGCCACCGCCGTCGTTCCAGCAGCAGCAGCAGCACTCGACCCATGCCCCGTACCATTCGCCTCCTCCCGACGTAGCCGGATCCCCTGGGCATCTTCACTTCCTCAAGACACATTTTGTGTCACAAGGCGAGATCTTTCCAAGTGTGGTAGCGCGCGAGAATGGTGGTGGTTTTGCTTTGTCTGTTCAGAGTCGCCCTTCGCAGATTGGTAGAGAGCAAGTTTGGGCCGACAGCGGCGCAAGCAACACGTTTGTCAGCAGTAGCGAAAACGTGTTCGACATGAAGCCGATCCCAGCAGGAAAAGAGTTCATCCAAGTAGGGAATGGTGCCTATCTGCGCGTGCAATGTGTTGGTAGCATCAACATGGCATTTCACATGCCTGGCCCTTCGGACGAGACGGATTTTTGCGTGCAGATGTCGGACGTGTATGTAGTGCCCGGCATCACGTTCAATCTGTTTTCCCTGCACCATACGCAGCGTAGGCCAAAAATTACGTTGGACGAGAATGGCCTGCATCTTTTCAATGGCCAGCTTTCCTTTGCCTGCTCCGATGTAGGATGTTCTCTTTGGGCCACTCGCTTGCCTCCCACGTATACCGGTAGTGCTGTGACCCTCGGTCCCAATGCCCTCCCTCGTGTGTCTCCCCAAGCTCCCTCGCCTAGCGTTGGAACAGGCCTTGTTGTGGCGAACCCCTCTTTCCCCCCAAACACAGGAGCGGACACACCTGCGAGTACGAGCTTCCAGTCCGCCGGTGGTGCCACTGCCGGTGTTGTACCTTCGAGTTCGAGTGCGAGTCCGAGCTTCCCATCCGCCACTTCCGGTGTAGTGCTTCCGCGTTGTGCATTCCCGCCCATCGACGTAGATGTAGTGCCAACGACTATTGCAGACTTCCAGCCTGTAATTACGGCTGCCTTAGCATCGTCTGAGATTGTTTCTCCCTCTGTCGTTGACCCGAGCGATTTTCGTGAAGTTGTGATCAACCCCCTCGTCCCCCAGGACCATTTGCCTCTCATGGATATCAGCATGTTCCTTGATGTTGGCCTGATGGATGGAAAAGACTCGGTCCCACAGGGTGATTTTTTTCCGGATGCCCTTGATGTTTGCGATTCCGCAACA